AGGGGGAGATGTTGGAAAACAAAATGACAAGAAGATACTAGTTTACTCAAGGAAGCCTAAATTGAAGTACAAGGAAAATCTCACACCTAAGGCACCAAGAGAGTCGGAACCGATGATAGGACCTAATGAGAACCCCTCCAATGAATCTCCAGACGATTTACCTATTGCTCTTAGGAAACAAGCTCGATCATGTACTCTCCATCCTATTTCAAAATTCATGTCTTATAAAACTCTATCTACAGCTAACCTGGATGAAACAGAAATCCCAAAAAATATTCATGAGGCCCTGGAATCACCCAAATGGAGAGAAGCAATAATGGAGGAAATGAGAGCTTTAAAGAAGAATGGAACATGGGAAATGGTAAACTTACCGAAAGGAAAGAAAACTGTGGGATGCAAATGGGTGTTTAATGTGAAATACAAAGCTGATGGGACTATAGAGCGCTATAAAGCTCGTCTGGTCGCCAAAGGATATACTCAAACTTATGGCATCGACTACACAGAAACATTTGCACCAGTAGCAAACTAAATACAGTCAGAGTTTTGTTGCCATTAGTTGTTAATTTAGATTGGTCACTTCAATAGCTGGACATCAAGAATGCATTCCTGAATGGAGAGCTAGAAGAAGTGTTCATGACAATACCACCAGGATTCAACAAAGGAAATGAAGAAAAACAAGTGTGTAGACTCAAGAAATCCCTATATGGTCTCAAACAATAACCAAGAGCTTGGTTCGATAGATTTGCAAAAGTATTAAGAAATCAAGGATATCAGCAAGGGCAATCAGATCATACCATGTTCTTCCAACAGTCTAAAGATGGGGCAAAAACAATTCTAATTGTATATCAAAAACAATTCTAATTGTATATGTTGATGATCTCATCTTAACTGGGGACAACACAGCTGAAATAGAAAGACTAAAGAAATGCTTAGCCACCGAATTTGAAGTGAAGGACCTAGGATAGATGCGATACTTCTTAGGAATGGAGATTGCAAGATCAAACAAAGGTATTAGTGTTTCTCAAAGAAAATATATTCTCGATCTATTAACTGAAATTAGGATGCTAGGATGCAAACCAAGCGATACACCTATTGAGGTTGGAAAAATAACAAAGGACTTCGGTAACTCAGTAGAAATAGACAGATACCAAAGACTTGTTGGGAAGTTGATCTACCTATCACACACTAGACTTGACATTGCATTTGCAGTCAACATATGCACTCTCCCAAAGAAGTCCACCTGGAGGCTGTGTACAAAATATTGAGATATCTAAAAGGCAATCCCGGGAAAGGACTGTTCTTCAAAAAAAAGAAAAGAAAAGGAGTAGAGATATTCACAGACGCAGATTGGGCTGGATCAACGGAAGATAGAAGATCTACTACTGGCTACTGTACTTTTGTCTGGGAAAATTTGGTAACTTGGAGAAGTAAGAAACAGAATGTAGTGGCAAGAAGTAGTGTTGAATCTGAATTTAGAGCTGTCGCACAAGGAATATGTGAAGGATTATGGATAAAGAAACTCGTAGAAGAACTAAACGTCAAGGTGGAGCTTCCAATCAAACTCTATTGTGATAATAAAGCAGCCATCAACATTTCTCTCAATCCAGTACAACATGACAGAACTAAACATGTAGAAGTGGACAGACATTTTATCTAAGAGAAAGTGGAAGATGGAATTATTTGTATCATATATGTCCCTACAAAGGAGCAAACTGCAGATATCTTTACTAAAGGACTACCAAAACAAGTTTTTGATACCTTCAGCTGCAAGTTGAACTTGATTAACATCTATGGTTCAACTTGAGGGGGAGTGTAGAAAACCAATTATGGAAAGACATAGAGAATATTATAATTGATAGGATTGTTATAGGATTATTAGTTAGGTGATTTATTTCCTTATTTAACAAATTGGAGTCTTCCTTTTTTATTCCATACTTTGTAATATAAATAGGTTGTATTGGATGTGTAATATTCATTTAAAATAAAAGAAGTTTTATTCTTCACTGTGTATGAAATCGACATAATTCCAACATCCTCTGTGTGGGATTGATGTGCATCTCACTCTTGTTTCCCAACACTGGCTCATTCTTCTTTGGTGGGTGCTGTCTGAGGTTGATTCCCATGGTTCCAGCATCTCTAGGTTGTGCCACATAAGTTGACTCAGTCAGGTTTAACACCTCTTGCAGGTTGTTGCTGATGTCGTCTGTGAATTGGAGGTACTCTAATTCTGTGGCCTTTTCTTTATCGGGCTCTCTCTAGTTAAATTCTGTGGTCCAGCGTTTTGTTTAGTTGGGCTGAGGTGTGTGCTATTTGGCTTGATTTATTGTTGAGTTGTTTCTTTTGATGTATTGTTGAACTGTTTCGTTTGGGTTGTGAAAATTTCTTTTCACTTGGATTATTTGTATTATTACCTCTACCTATTATTTTAGGATTTTTATTGAAAATATGACGGAGTCCAAGAGATCTGTGAGTGAGATGGTTAATCACTGAACATAAATTGGATGGCACTAATTATCTGGAGTGGAGTAAGACAATTAGAGTCTATTTACGAAGCATAGACAAAGATGATCACTTAACAAAAGATCCGCCTAAAGATGATACCAAACAAAGTTGGCTGAGAGAAGATGTACAGCTCGTTTTACAAATTAGAAATTCTATCGACGGCGAGGTTATTAGTTTAATTAATCCCTGTGAATTTGTAAAAGAACTAATGGATTATTTGGAGTTTCTGTATTCTGGCTAAGAAAATGTGTTGCAAATGTATGAAGTTTGCAAGGCTTTTTATCGTGTTGAAAAGGAAGCCAAGTCTCTCACAGTTTGCTTCATGGACTTCAAAAGGACATATGAAGAACTTAATATGCTATTGTCATTCAGTACTGATGTCAAAATGCATCAAATTCAAAGGGAGCAAATGGCTGTTATGAGCTTCCTTGCTGGTCTTCCTTACGAATTCGAGACTTCCAAATCTCAAATCAATCTAGGTCTCCCATTCTTTCCCTGAAACCGAGTCTCATGAGGTTCAACCTTAAAAAAGTTGGAGAAGAACCGTTGAACCTTCATCTGGTATGGCAAGAGAAAATCAAGCTTTGCTTGAGAGCCTAAAATCCTATAACTGGCACCACCAATACGAGCTAATGAAAATCTTCTCTCTAGCTCTGAAATTCCCTCTTCAAGACGTCTTCAGTGGAGTTCTGTGCACTGAAAATATCTCACATATTCAGCAAAATGATATTATTGTTGTCAAAGGAGGGGGAATGGTTATGGAAGGAGGGTCAACAATAAGGGAGGATGAAACAAGGCTACTAATAACTGTAACAATGATTCAGGCAACGTTGTGTGCTACTACTGCCATGAGCCAGGCCACACCAAGTGATATTGTAGGAAATTGCAGATTCGCAATCAAAAGACTCAGACTGCTAATGTTGCTGCTTCTCCTAGTTCGTCTTCTGAGAAAATAGTTATGATATGAGCTAATGAGTTTGCCAGATTCTCTTGTTATCAAAAATCACTGAAGGAATCCACTTCAGTTACTGTCCTTGTTGAGTCAAGTAAAACATGACTTATCTCCTCTTCAAACAATTGGATAATAGATTTGGGTACCACTGACCATATGATAGGTAATCCTAATACCTTCTTTTGCTTTGATCACACAAAACTCCTTGTCCAGTTACAATAGCCGATGGGTCAACCTATAACATTGTTTGATCTAGAACTATTAAACCATTTCCCTCTATTACCTTGTCCTCTGTTCTAAGACTACCAAAACTTGCTTTTAATTTGATTTCTGTAAGTAGACTTACCAAGGACTTTAACTGTTGTATCTCATTCCTTCTTGATCATTGTCTATGACGAAGCAGATTATTGGTAAATGACATGTATCTAATGGTCTTTATATTCTTGATTTGTGGATGCCTCGATTTGTTGCTTGTTCCAGTGTCATTTCTCCGGATGAAGTACATTGTCGATTGGGACATCTTTCTTTGCCTGTGTTAAAGGAGCTATGTCCTTAGTTCCATGATGTATCTTCACTAGATTGTGAGTCATGTCATTTTGCAAAATATTACCATAGCTCGTTAGGTCTAAGAATTAATAAATGAGTTGTGTTTGCTTTTGAGTTGGTTCATTCCGATGTTTGGGGACTGTGTCCTGTTATGTCTAAAACTGGATTCAGATATTTTATTATTTTTGTGGATGATTTTCCTCGAATGACATGAATTCGATATGAAGTATTTTCTCATTTTTGTGCTTTTTATCCTAAAATTAAAACCCAATTTAATACTTATGTACATATACTACGAAGTGATAATGCTAAATAATAAATGTCAGACTCACTTTAGACTTACATGACTCAACATGGGATTCTTCACCAATCCTTCTGTTTTGATACTCCTCCTCAAAACGGAGTTGCTGAGAGGAGGAATAGACATCTACTTGAGACTGCTCGAGATCTTTTGTTTCAAACAAAGGTTCCTAAGCAATTCTAGGCTAATATCATTTCTATAACTTGCTTTCTAATTATTCGCATGCCAT